CCCAGCCTAGACCTAGGCTTTCTAGTCTTATTTATATTTTTTCATATTCAGCGCTTTTTCACATGAAAAGACTGGGACTAGGTGATTTGGGGGCGGGGCGGAGGAACCAAGCCTAGAAGGCCTAGTTGATTTCCCAACAACATGGCCAAAACTGCCCTGAAACTGCCCTGGTTGCGAAATGCCCAATTATTGCGTTCTCAAACAGAATTACTTGCAACTTAACGGCGAATTTAAACCGATACAGGTAAAATAAACTCATTTATAGTATAAACTTACTATTTTTATTTGTATACACGTCTAGAAAATCGGGGTTTTTATCATAAAGTTCGAAGCAACACTATTATTTAATATGTTGACATTTACTTGATAAGGTGTAGCGAAAGCACAAAATGAGTCAAAATATATACCAAAAGTAGAATCTTTCATGAAATTTTGTCTTATACACAACTACATTAATATATATTTTCTCAATTTTGGCAAGAAGCAGTCTTGTGTTTGTAAAATATACAAACACATATACAATTATAATTTATTAAATAAAACGGATACATATATTTAATGTTAGCCCGTACAGTACTGTATATAAAAATGTACATTGTTTACAAATGGTATATCCGTAATATTTGAACAATAATTTCAAAATCCTCATTCCGCAAATATAGTTATTCAAAGCAAAACAGTAGATTGTCTTGCGAATAAAAGAATTATTATTTTGTGCTTTCGCTTCACCTTGTCAACATAATAATAGTGTTGCTTCAAACTTTATGATAAAACCCCCGATTTTCTAGACGTGTATACAAATAAAAATAGTAAGTTATACTATAAATGAGTTTATTTTACCTGTATCGGTTTAAATTCGCTGTTAAGTTGCAAATAATTCTGTTTGAGAACGCAACAATTGGGCATTTCGCAATCAGGGCAGTTTCAGGGCAGTTTTGGCCTTGTTGTTGGGAAATCCACTAGGCCTTCTAATTTTTCGCTTGCGTCAGGCTTGTGTCCTTCCTCCGCCCCGCCCCCAAATCACCTAGTCCCAGTCTTTTCATGTGAAAAAGCGCTGAATATTAAAAAAATATAAATAAAAATAGAAGGCCTAGGTCTAGGCTGAAGCAGCCCTATTTTCGAAACTTGTCATACCGCTTGATGATTCTTTACTGATGAAACAGACTGTTTCGAAATTTTGAGGTAAGCGAAATTCTACATTTGCTCTATTTTTATGATATTGAGCACTCTTTGCGTTTCGTACACAATATATATATATATATATATATATATATATATATATATATATATATATATATATATATATATATATATATATATATATATATATATATATATCGCATTTTACTTATGTTAAATTCCCATTGTATTTATGCATGTTTTGGGTGTTGAAAAAGTGGCATTGAAATATTCTGGAGTAAATTGTACTTTTTTACAAGGAAACTAAAATAAAATTACATCAGTGAATTCAGGAATGTTTACTCTTTATATTGATACTTTAAAACATGAATTTACTCCATAAAACCGAAGAGTTATCGCGGTTTGAAAATGAGCTATTTTTGCTATATTCGACAAATACTTGAATAACAATAAACACACTGATTAGCGCGTTGCATTTCAGGAAGACCTCAATATCCTCTGACACGGCTTAATTACTGCATATCATATTCCCATAATTAAATAATAACAATATCAATAATCATTTTACTGTAATATAATAAATATATATATAACTATTTTTATTGACAATTTTCTAATTTACATACAACCTACACATTTGTAAAATTTGATATACAATACCTTGTTGGCTTAATCTTTTGACAGAATCAGTACACAAGTGATACAACTTTATTATTGCCAACCGTCGACGATTGCCCAGCTAGCAAGATCACAACCTCGCTAGTATAAAGTATAAAATATAGCTACTTCACACATAGCTAGCAAGTTTGGTACAGTTACACAGAGTTCACAATTCACTGCTTTTTTGAAAAACATAATATGAACGGCTCCTTTAATTTTGACTTGATTTGACCAAATGATCGCCACGAACACACAACAAAATATACACCTAGAGGACATAGAATTCGAATTTTTATAATGTATTTTTAATATAAAAACAGACTATCACGTTCATTTACATATATAAATGAAAGTATTCAAACGTTCAAATAACTATTTTTATCAACATACCTTCAAAAATATAATTCTTTTGATAGTTTTCCTCCAAAATCAAATAGTAATATTGTGAAATAAGCCTCGTGCAATGGAAAATATGCGACATTGCCATATCGTCATGTCAAAATTAAATGTCATAGCTCCTATGTAGCTACGGCGCACCGAACGCAGCTTTCGGAAGTGATCGGATTATCATCGTAAACTTCCTGCGTATATAAATTTGTACACAACGTCATTCGAATTCTGTGACGTCAGAAAATGCGACCCGAATGATCGAACGAACGAACGACAAACAAATCTCAAATGCTTTGGCTAAAATACATAAGTCGCGCGGGGATCTGGCACGAGTAAAAACTGTAAACGTTGTCAAGAATAGGTGGCTGCCATCGCTTCGCTCGGCAGCAACAAGTTGTTTAAACAGCTTGTAACAAGCTTGTTGATATTATCAGACTTGTAGCAAGGTTGTTCCAACAAGTCCGATACAGTCATGATATAACAATATTGTTACAACCTTGTGTTGTCAATCTTGTAACATTCTTGTTATATTATGACTGTATCAGACTTGTTAGAACAACATTGTGACAAGTCTGGCACAGTCGTGATATAACAAGATGCCATCAAGCTTGTTACAAGTTGTTAAGAGCTTGTTCCAAACTTGTTCCAAACTTGAACAGATTTGTAACAACTTGTATATTATGTAAGAATCTCACAGCTTGTCAATGAGATGTGTTCTCACTGCTTGTTCCCAGTTGTTGAAAAGTCTGGGACAAGTTGTTATCATCTCGTAACAAGGTTGATGAGGCCAACAGACTCGCAACAAGTTGTTCCAACAAGTCTGATATCGTCTGCACGTAACAAGTTGTTAACAAGTTGATGACAACAAGCTCGTAGCAACTTGTTACGAACAGCCTGTATTAGTCTTGTTGGAACAACTTGTAGCAAGTCTGTTACCGTCGTCAACCTTGTAACAAACTGATAACAACTTGTTCCAGACTTGTCGCAACAACTGGGAACAAGCAGTGCGAACACATCCTGATATCGGCTTCACAACAAGATTCAGACCCCGTTCACACGATACCGGCAGAGTTTGAAAGCGGAACGAAATTCTTACGTTTAGCACTTTAGGGGTTGTGTTCACACGATGCCGGTATGAAAAAATGTGAAACCGTAACGCTAACCGTAAGAGTTTGAAAACGGAACAGAATTCTACCGTTAGAGTGCCGTGTGAACCGTAAGAATTTCATTATGGTTATGCAAAATGAAATTAACAAAACTGCAAAAGTTGTTGTTGGATATTTTATTCTGTCTATTTTAACTGATTGTGCAGCATATTGTCAAAGCGGAATATAATCTGCCGGTATCGTGTGATCAGTTGAAACCGTGATGATTTTCTGCCGGCAGAATTCCATTCCTGTATCGTGTGAACGCGGTCTTAGAACGGGCCAAAGTCAAGGACGTGACGTATGCATGTAGTGTACATATGTATCAGTGTATTAATGAATTATGACTACACAACTCATCCAATTTTGCCCTTCATTACAATTACTACAAAGTTTCTTTCAAAACATTGCATTAAAAGATATACTTGACACAGAGATGTATGGCTATCACTGTTTCAATTTTACAGAAAAACGAAGTGTAGATCCTAAGCAACCAAAAAATGTCAAATTTTCACTTTGATCTATCATTGAAACTTTCCCAAGGGGAGGCGCATGACTTTTCAGGGGAGGTGCAAAAATTCTCAGGCGAGATGCGCACCACCCCACACCTCCCCTGAAAATCCGGCCATGATAATGACATTAAACCATATTCTTCCCAGGACAAAACTACGTCATCCCAACCAGCAAAATCGTCGCAAAAACGACATCGCAAGGACTCGAGCGCGTCAGATAAATCGTCATCAAGTCATGATAAATGGTTGCCAACGGAGAGAAAGAAATTGAAACGTTCGAGTTTTCGCGACAGTAGTTCGGACAGCGATGATATCTCAATTATTGAAAATCCTACCCCAAGGAAATCACCTGCAAGCACTTCCTTGGGACGTCTGGGAAGAGACAGCAAGACTCAAAACAAAGAAGAGGATTTAGGTATTGACAGAGTTTGGAATAGGTTTGGAATGAACAATCTTTCCCACATATTTCGCTACTCTGGTTAAGTAAATGAATCCCTGAACAAATTAAATTCACGATCCAACGTTTAAACACTCCGATCTAGTGTCTTCATGTAACCATGGATAATAAAATAAATGGATAGGAAACTAGCTGACGTGACCTAATCTTTTCAATGGGCTGATGGCGTGGTTGGATGTTCAAACCTAGTTGCAAACCAAATTCTCAAAAACGGCATGTTTAGCAATAATACAGCTAAACATTTTATTCAAAGAGCAAATAAATATAACCACGCCATTCTACGATGAAATCTCTAAGTATTCCCAGTCAATTTTAGCAAATATTTCAAGCACTAAACAGTGAAAAATGCATCGCAAATTTCGTTAAAATTTGTGACGCCAATTTCGTAGCTACAAATGTAAAAAAAAATACAAAACAAAGACGAAAAACATTTACCTTGAATACTTTGTCGTGGCTTAGGCATGTTTTTAAAACAGTTAGACCAGTTTATGCTTCGATATTACTCTTTTAAAGCGGAAAATATAGCGAAACAACAAAACTGCTGAGAACTTTGGCAATACGCGTGACGTCACAGATTGCAACTGGGTTTAGACTGTGACGTCAGGAAGTTTCCTATCCAGTTATTTTACAATCCATGATGCAACCAGGCATAATATCAGACATGTTTTGCTACTCTGGTTTACTGTCGTTCCAATTGAAGTGTTGCTCAAATATTGATTCAATACATTACCTCGGGCTGACCAATTCATTTGATGAAGTTCCTCGAGATATTCATACACTTCCTGTGAAAGAGCCAATTCCAAGTATTTGATCATTTCTGGTCACTTCCTTTCTATTTATGATTGGTTATTTGCACAAACAACAAAGGTGATTGGTGCATTCAAACTATTCAACAGGAAGTTTACAATTATACTAGGAAGTGTATGAATATCTCGAGGAACTTGATGAACTGAATTGGTCAGCCCGAGGTAATGTATTGAATCAATATTTGAGCAACACTTCAATTGGAACGACAGTAAGTAAATGAATGTAATCCCTGAACAAATTACATTCACAATCCAGCATTTTAACACTCCAGCCTAGTGTCTTCATGCAACCAGGTATAATAACAGACATGTTGCAATCCCTGAACAAATTACATTCACGATCCAACGTTTCAACACTCCAGTCTGGTGTCTTCATACAATCAGGTTTAATATCAGACATATCTGTTTTGATACTCTGGTTTAAGTAAATGAATGTAATCCCTGAATAAATTTAATTTACAGTTACATAACTCCAGCTAAAGATGAAATTTTGATCTAGGCAAGAAGAAACAAATCCATTACCACAGCTGGAAAGAGCATCTTAAAATGAGTAAAATTGCAAAGTTTGGTTGCGAATTGTTGTAAAATGAGGAAAATATAGCCCTGTGAAGTTTGCAAATTTTGTACATACTTGCATTACGCTCGTGAAAAATAACCATTTTTGAGCCGAAAATGGTTATTTTTACCGCGCGTAATACAAGTATATACAAAATTTGCGAATCTCACATGGCTATATTTTCTTCATTTAACAACATTTAGCAACCAATCTTTGCAGTTTTACTCATTCTAAGACGCTCTTTCTAGCTGTGGTGTTGGATTCCGTTCTTCTTGCCTTGATCAAATGCAATTTGTGTGGCGAAACTTGCGTGAATGCAATTTGTTTGGCGAAACTTCTAATTTAAAAACTTTGACCTTATCTTTTTCTTCTTGCAGTTGACTGTCCGGTATGCGGTCAAAAGATGGCTCCAGCGCGAATCAACCTTCACCTGGATTCGTGCTTAACAAGTAAAGACAGAAAAGATAATCTCAGAAGGTATATTTGGGGCTGCACGCCTCGTGAACGAAGTGGACTGAAATAGTCCCTGATGTTTTGTAAATTTCGTAAAAGAATCCCGCTAATGGAATGGACAAATTGCATGTTAGACTAAATTTTAATCTAAGTAAAGAGAAGCGAATCAAACACCACAACTAAAAGAACATAATGAAATTAGCAAAATTGCAAAATTTGGTTGTGAATTGTTGTAAAGCTTGGAAAATATAGTCTTGCAAAGTTTCCGAATTTTATATATATATATATATATATATATATATATATTTATAATATAGCATTTGTGGATTCTGAACGCTGGTTGGCTAAGAGCCGTGTTGATATAACTCAATGTCAACACGGAAACGTCGGAAAATTTCTTTCTTTATGTTTCTTTGTGATATATTATCAAACAAATATAAAACATTTTTTCCGTATTGATATATAGTTATATCAACACTCGTGGAAATTGGGAAACTCGAAACTGTGTGAAAACACTCCGCCCTTCGGCCGTCATGTTTCCACACAATTTCTCGTTTTCCCAATTTCCACTCGTGTTGATATAACTGTATATCAACACGGAAAATGTTTTATATTTGTTAAATATTATACGTGCGGAAATTGTTACCATTTTCGGTTGTAAAATGGTGACAATTTCCGCACGTAACACAAACATATACAAAATATGCAAACTTCGCAAGGCTATATTTTCCGTATTTTACAACATTTCGCAACCAAATTTTGCAATTTTACTAATTTTAATAAGTTCTTTACGGGAATTTACTTTTTTTTGCCCAGATCAAAAATTAGTCTAACATACAAGTTGTCTATTCGATTTATTTACAGCACATCGTCACAGTCACCGAAAAAAGAAGATCAGAATACGTGCGAGACTTCGTCGCATGTTGGTGCCAATTCATTCATGTAAGTTTAGAACAGGTCTGTGGACTCTGTGCCAGTGCACATGCGTAAAAATCTCCCCTCCTGTAGCAAGTCTGTCAACAAGTTGTGTTCGCACTGCTTGTCCCAAGTTGTGAACAAGTTTAGAACAAGCTGTTAACAGCTTGTAACAATCTTGTTGATATTATCAGACTTGTTGCATGGTTGTTCCAACAAGTCCGATACAGTCATGATATAACAATATTGTACAAGTTGTTAACAGCTTGTAACAAGCTTGTTGATATTATCAGACTTGGAGCAAGGTTGTTCCAACAAGTCTGATACAGTCATGATATAACAATATTGTACAAGTTGATTAAACAGCTTCTAACAAGCTTGTTGATATTATCAGACTTCTTGCAAGGTTGTTCCAACAAGTCCGATACAGTCATGATATAACAATATTGTTACAACCTTGTGTCGTCAACCTTGTATATCATGTTATATCATGACTGTAACGGACTTGTTGGAACAACCTTGCTACAAGTCTGATAATATCAACAAGCTTGTTACAAGCTGTTAAACAACTTGTATACAATATTGTTATATCATGACTGTATCAGACTTGCTACAAGTCTGATAATATCAACAAGCTTGTTACAGGCTGTTAAACAACTTGTATACAATATTGTTATATCATGATTGTATCAGACTTGTTGGAACAACCTTGCTACAAGTCTGATAATATCAACAAGCTTGTTACAGGCTGTTAAACAACTTGTATACAATATTGTTATATCATGATTGTATCAGACTTGTTGGAACAACCTTGCTACAAGTCTGATAATACCAACAAGCTTGTTACAAGCTGTTAAACAACTTGTATACAATATTGTTATATCATGATTGTATCAGACTTGTTGGAACAACCTTGCTACAAGTCTGATAATA